GGGTTTCTAGTTTCACGGGGATTACGTCATTAAATTGCACTGATACTAGTAGACGAATTTCCCGACACTTGTTTCATTACACTGTCCGCAAATTACTTAAAGTTCAATTTGAAAAATTTATCTCACGGATTTTCACTGAAATTTTATTAATTCCAATCGAAATAATTGATATTTCCCTAAATATCGCTAATTATAAATTTTATTATAATAATTAATTGTGAATTAAAAACAATTATTTTTCAGCGGTACGAAATAGGTTAAAATGATATTCTTGAAATGGTAATTAAATTAAATTCATGACTTATTTTTTAAATTAAATCACAAATGTCCGAGTAGAATGAAATAATAATAACAATTTGATTGTTTTTATCGAATAAAGATTTGGTGAATTATTCGCTCGGTGCACATGCAGTTGAATAAAAATCCGGCAATTGAACATATTTATTTTTTATATCAATCGACAACATCCGAAGCTGAAAATGCAATAAGTTTTTTTACGATGGACAGATAAAAACAATTTTTATCCGTTTATTTACGTGTCATCAACGGAAAAACATACTCTCGAAAATCGAACTCAATTCCCTGGAGTGGAGATAAATTCAGTGACTGGAATAAAACGCGATATTTCAATTTTTACAGTGAAAGAATCAAAATATTTATTAACCTTTATTTATCATGAAATTTTTCATTTGCAACTGGAGTAAAATTAATCTCAACGTTTTCCTGACACGACAACCGGAATTTTCGATTTCAATTGTTCATTTATTATATAATAATGAACACTAACCATTAATTATTACTGCATATTCATTCTTGAATATCAAATATGATATAAAAAATCTGTAAACAAATTCTCTGGGTCTTTGATGAATAAAAATGTGGCGGCCGAAAGGCAATGAAAAAACATGTGGAATTTTTTCTCCATTTTTCTCCCTCAAAAGTTCAAAGAAAATACTGTGCAATATTTTCTCCTCACCCATAAAAATTCACAGTGAATTCCTCTCGAAACTCTGAAGCATCAACGAAATATATTGTCCCTTTACGATGTTGAAATTGAAAGAAGAAAAAAAATGAGCTGAAGGGTCTAGTACATAATGTGTATATGCATGTACGGAGGGGTTAGACAGTCTCTGTGCAACAGAAAATTACCTACGAGTACTTCCCCCTCCCCCTAACCCCTCACGGTACATACGCCGCATAAAAGTTTATTGTAAATGCACAGGGGACGAAAAAAACCGTAAAAATTACTTTATTTGTGGCGAACGCTTTTATTTCCACACCATAAACTACTGGCCATTTTTACAGACCATTTTCCATCGCCACCGCGAATTTTCCTAGTTAATTGCGGGAGTTATTTCAGCCTGCAAATGGGTATTTCCTCCTGCAATGATAATTGCTTCTTCATTTATTAATAATTCCGGAATTTTTGGATACGTAAAAAATTAACGCGCTGAGAAAAAAATGGAAATATTCAATTAATTCAGTTGGTGTTATAAATTTATGTATTTATGGAGATTGTTTAAAGAAATTGATGGAGGAAAAGGGCTGAAAGGTCGTACATGACGAATAAAGGAAAATAAAGTTAATTAATTTATTTACTTCTGTTCAATTTAAATAAATATGTTTCTTCGACGTGAGTAAATATTTTTCTCTGCGCGTTTTGTTTACGAATAATTTTCCTCCACCCACAGACGCATAATTGGGGGAATTAAATATTGAATAATTAATTCTCTGTTGGTTATTTATGGATTTATGAAGGGGCGGAAATAGAATAGACATGGGAGAATTAATCGGAATGGAGTGGAGGGGTCACTTGCTATTTCGAATAATGAAACATTCAGTCGCAGAAGTGAATTGTTTTCGAATGAATTATTCGCCTGAATCATTGGCTTTCACATAATTCATTACCCCGAGATGATATTTTCCTCCGATGATAAAGGAAAACCACATCCGGGAAAAATTCAAGACCAACCGAAATAATCCGGAATTTTTCTCCATTCGATTCTCCTGAAAGCTCATTCAATTCGTCTAATTCCTCGATTAATTCGAGATAGTCATGAGATTATGTTTCAAATCAGGAAAAACCGTGAAAATTATTTTTCAAGATTACGAATCAATTGGGAATTCAATGGAATTGAATATTTATAAATAAATCTTACTAGTAATCATCGCGGTGTAATTTCCGCAAATTTCTCTTTCAAAAAATGAATAGAAGTAATTGGAAAAAATTGACATAAATTGTGATACTTTAATGGATTCTCTCTGATGCATTCGATTACATTTACAATCGAGTTCAGCTCACGTACTTCCGGTGAAGAGCCCTGACGACTTCCGGCGGAGTCGTTCCGGTGACGCGGGTAACCCCAGGTGATCGACCCGATATCATCCGAGGAGAAATTCTCCTGGTGTTTCGAAATATGAAGAATAATTCCCTTTATCTATTTTATTTCACTATCCCATTGTACTAAAAAAATTTATAAAGACGAATTTATGGAAGAAGTTATGGAAATTACTGATTACAATTGTTAAATTAATTTGAATGTCATTTTATGAATAATTGCACAACTGTTTCTGATACAATGACAATTCGAAAAAGTACCTCAATTGTAATAAATCCCCAGAGTATAAATGTTGTCGTTGTTTTCCTGTTGGGAGTGGAAACTCAATTATCCACTGGGAATGTCTGTCATCAAGGAAAACCCCGGGTATTAATTAAACCCGTTGTTGCCCCTTTCTTTGTTATCACCCACATTGGGATACGTTTCATTTACTCATTAGATTTTCACCGGTTTGTGTCATTTCTTGAGACAACAATTGGAAATTATTTTAGAAAAAAAGAGACTAAAAAATACACTACCACTTAATAAATAATGGGCTTGAGGAGTAATTTGTAATTTGTGGGAGCGGCTTTCTGGGAAAAGCGTTTGAATTTCTGGTTATCAACCCGATCTTATCGGAATTATCTAATTCCTGTCGATGAAAAAAACTAATGAGCACTCGTACCAGCGAGAAACACCTGTTTCCAGCGATTATTTCTCACAATTCTATTCTCAATTATCGCATTAGGTAACTGTTACATTGAAAAAAAAAAGAAACAATTCAAGACAGAACAGACGATCGAACAATTTTTCAGCTTAATTTACTTTTCAAGGTAATGAAAAATATTCAGAATTAAATAGCTGTGAATTTTACGTAAATTCACTTCAATTTTTTCACTCCAAAATTCGTAGAAAGACGAGATAAATATTTCGCAAAATTGTGCCGGAAATATGAGCGAGGCATTCTCACCGAATATGAGAGACAAAAGGATGAAAAGAAATTCCTGAATTTTATGAGTCTGGAATTCCTAAAAACAAAGTAACGATAGATATTTGGCTCAGACGATGGGATCCCACGGTATTCGAGCATTTTCCCATGGATTTCGTGTAACCGGTTTCGAAAACATAGAGTGGTGCCTTTAATGCTTCAATAGGACTGTATAAAGAGGGCCATTCACCCCTCGCGATTCAAACGTTTCCCATTTTTTTTTATCCGATTCTAGATTTAAAAAAAGTCACACGAGGATTTTTCACTTGGAAAAACAGCAAAACTGCGGCTCATCCCCACGAACAAAAATCAGGCACAACAAAACGTCCCATTCTCTCATTCTATCAACTGGAAAAACTCAATTCTTGTAATTATTGTAATTCAATTTAATTAACGTATCAATTACAGTGAGTCTATCAAAAAATATATATTCTTCATTAATTCTCTCTATCAATTACGCGCCGAATAATAACTAAAAATAATAGAGTAATAAAACGATATCAATAATGATATTGTAATGATTGTTATTACATAAATATCATTTTTATATTACACTGTAACGCCTCAAGTGAATACGATTAAGCAATTAGCTCGAGGTACTATCAAGAGTTGAACAGGAAGTTCGGTTAATGATTCTACCGTTAATTTAATCCCTCAACGTCAATATTTGCCATTTCTCTGAATTTAGGAATGAGAATAAACGGCGAACTTGCACTATCCCAGTTATTCCCGGATTTGTCGGGGAAAGGTTAAGGGGATCAGAAAGCCAGGGAAAGTTTTCCTTGAAGAATAATGAGTAATTCACCCCAACTCTAACTACTTGCCCCAACAGTTTCCCAGTTATTCAAGAAAAATAAATTCTTTTATCCAAACTCGTGAGTCCAACTCAATTGTTTACGTCTCGCGATTAAATGGACCGGAATTTATAAGAAAATATAGATAATAATTAATTCAAATGCTATGACTGATGAATTATTCAGATTTCTACTATAACATGACGACATGTATTACTGAATTATTAAATTAAAAATAATAATCAATCGATTGTTAACCCTCGTATCCTCGAATTATTAAAAAATGCGTTAAAACGTAAGTTTGAAATTTTTGAAAAATATTGGAAAGTCGGTTAATTAGTTGACGAACTGTTACTTTGACAGTTGTAAAAAATAAATGAACGAGATTCGAGGACGAAACAAAGGAATTTAGGGAGAGTTAAATTCCAAGTGTTTAACAATTCCAGCATTTGTTTGGAAAAATATATTGATTTTCTGGATGACCCGAGAACAATAAAATTCTGATGGCAACGGTCTAGCCATATTTAAAGGGCATCCGAATGCAATTCCTCGATAGAAATTAATACCGGGATTCCAGTATGTCTGAACCCTGACATTTTCCCATATATCCGACAATGAAACAAAAAGTCATGTCTCACTGATGGATTGTTCCTATTCTCTGGAAAGCCACGTGAACAATGCCCTTTCCTCTGCAGTTTTTCTGCCACCACGAGTCGATTACGAATTCTAAGAAAATCCACCGATTATAAAAAAAACAGTCCAAACCTACAATATCTCCAATCGCTGAATTATTATTAATAATAATCATCAACCACATGAAAAATTCTCCGGCGAATTGGTCAATGGTACTTCACCGGAGTGAATTAACTGACAAAATGCAGAAATAAAAAATGTACTCACCCAGTGTTTCCTGGCGTCGTGTGGGCCCACACCCTTATCAAAAATTAAATAAAAAAGCACTCGGTTTGTCCTCCCCTTTTTGCGTTTGCCCACCGCCTATTCACTCGATCTCTCAATTCACTTGTTTGTTATTATGATTTTTTTTTTACTATTGTTTGTCTCCGTAATACGTAAATTTGTCGAAGATACGAGTCGTCAGAAACGCGGTCTGACTGTGATTACTGTAGAAATGCGTAGTACGTCATTTTCGGAGAATTCCAGCGCCGACGACGGACATACCGCCAACTGGAGTGTCGGCCGTCTGTCGGCCACCGATCGAATCTCCCGGTTGTCGCCATTTTTACCCCAGATTTTCGCCAGGCACACGACTGGCTCGTCCGAGTCGAGATATCGAAATATATCAAAACTTCTGACTCTCATAGGCCCATATGCGCCTTCCCCCTCCTCTCCATTTGATTTCCGCTATGAAAATTTGAGGCGGGAAATTGGAATTTCTTTCATCAACCGACGGATGATTTCCGATGTGTTCGTCTACTCGATGATTCTGGAGTAATCAAAAATACGGAAGAGTAAGAATTAAAAAGAGAAAAAATTCAGAAACCGGAGAGTTTTACCGTATTATCCAGAAATAATTTCATTCAGAATTTATCGTTTAAATTTACCGCCAGAATCTGACACAGTTTCTGTTAGTAACATATGGTTCAACAACACGTCATTCCTGGGGATATATTCTACATCTGATCGACACACTTTCTCCATTTGTTTTGACAGTAATTCATCATTCGAGTCATTGAAAAAAATCGAGAAAAAACAAATCAATGACGCCCGCCCCATCCTCGTGATTTCAACAATTGAAACCTCACGATTTCCACGTGATTTAGTTACAAATGGTGTCATAAAACAATCAGTAAGTGCTCCAAATAGACAATATAAAATAACACGATTCGTGTGCTCAAAGATAAATTTGCAATCCGTTTGTCTTTCAGATGGCAAACAATAATCCAGCCAATACCGAGGAGAGGGAAAAAGTTTGTACAATGGAGGAGAGAACAGAGTATTTTACTAAATTAGAAAAATGGTTGCAAGAGGCCTATGCATGGCAGACTGTGGCTGCTATGTTTCCATATTATTTGATGTCTGGACAAATTCTCCAACCGAATGGTAAATTTACAATAATTCATTCACCTCTCGAATTAATTATATTTTAGAAAACGTGTTGTTAATCTCAGGATCAAACTTCATACCTCAATTATCGACAAATACTGGAGTCCCAGGATTTCCAAGTGGATCATCAACACCAAACGATTCCACAAGACTACGAGACAGGAGAGACTCGAGACCTGGTCCCATATTAACACCGGAAGGTACACCATTTTTATCACTCTATTATTCATAATTAATCGAATGATAATTGCATCTCTGAATATTTCCGTCTTCATGTCTTCCACCTGATCTAATTACTCTGATATTTCTGTGTAGCTTATTGTCCATGTCTCTACATCTCATCTCGTGCTGTCTATCATTCATGTACTTGTGCCCATTTTCAGTAAAAAAGAACGAAGAGCTTGAAGTGAAAAAATGATTTTGCAGGAATTGAATACCGGATTCCACCAATTTGGAAGCGTTTTGTAGCTGAACTCATTGATTCAGTTATGTTGTTTTTGCTCAAGCTCATGATAACTTTCGTTGCACTGGATATTTTCGCTGCAATGTGAGTAATATTATATTTTCAAACCATGCCTGTCATCCCAATCTACATTCCTCCAATTTATTTCAGGAATATGGAGCCTTACAAATTGGATTTACTCCAAACAAGTCTCAGAATAGTTGATTACAAAATGGCAATGGAAGTTGCATCGAGGATATTAGTCTGGGAATTAATGCATCGCTTCATTGTTTGTATATTCGAGGTAAAAAAAATTCTCTATTTCACCGATTATTTTTACCTCCCATATTTTTCACTTCCTAGACAATAATTTTCAGGCCCTGTGGCTTCAGCATGGGATGCACGGTAGAATAGGGGGTGCAACCCCTGGAAAATCTGTGATGGGTCTGCGAGTGGTGCAGTGTCGAAATATAACACCAGTTAATCGTCCAGGGGATCCAGACGCCGTGATAGTGTCACCGGGCACTGACCTCGGTTTGCCTCTTGCCCTGGGCAGATCGATAGTTAAAAATTTAATAATGACATTTCTATTCCCAATCTGCTTCTCCCTATTTTCCTTCAGGTTCAATCGTACTGGCTACGATCTCGCCTGCTCATCAATCGTCGTGGAGGATCCCTACAGACAAAACAATCGCCCCTACCACCGCTGAAAATACTCCACCGAAATAAACAGTGGAGTGAGAACATGAGTTGCTCTTCTATTTCCACTCGTTTAAATTATTTACGAGATTGAAGTTATTAATCGAGTGATCCACTGGATGGATTACCAAGTGAAATAGGACGGATCAATCTTCCATGACCAGATATCCATTTCTAAAGTTAAAAATATTCTGCAGATGTACGTGATAATATCTGACAGATGAAGATACCAGCAGATATCGTCCTGGAGTTCAATACAACACACCAATTTCTTTTCCCTCTCGATCAATCCCCAGAGCCACATAATATTCTCACTCCATCTGCACAACTCTGATTAGAGTCTAAATAAAATTTTCTAATGTAACATAAGAGAAATCCTTTAAATGTGTACAAAACTATGGTGATACTGTATATAAGAGAGAAATATACGCAGAATCCTTCGATATTTTTCTGTTCATTCACCCACAATTATATGTTCAATGCTCATCATATTATGTACAAATAAATACATAAATCTATATATCCATTCGCATTACTGACTGGAAGGGAAAAACACGAGAGAAAAAAAATCTTTCGAACCGGATTTTAAAGTTTAAAATGACTCTAATGTTTATGAGCTCGCGGCGCCCTCGTGGCACCTCCAATATTTCCACGAACTACCAAAAATTGCGATTCTCACAGTAAACAAAAATATAAAGATGTAAATTGTGCAACGCCTTTGGTGGGGTACATTTAACATTTTGACAGGCGATGGCCTTAAAACATGTCATTATAGGTAAATAAATTAAATTGTCACGGATCATCTGAAGACGCGGGATACGTTATTTGTGTGGATATTCATATACTGAATTTATTATGTAATTTCTGTTATGCAGGCGGTGGAACCGGCTACATAGGCTCTGCACTGGCATTTGCATTGAGAGCTGAAGGAGCAAGTGTTAATATTATTTCCAGAAAGCCTAACGGGTCTCATCAAATTTCCTGGGTAATTACAATAGATTATACAGAGTCATGGCGAAGATGACGTGACGTGTTGTGTATGTCGTATTGTGTATGAAGTTAATTGTACAATTATGTCATGATTTTTTTATTTTTAAACGAATGATGAACGTTCTCTGAGTGGGGGAAATAAAGGGCTGTACAATAAATTGAATTCCCCCCTTTTAGAGACATTCTCAGGATTATTATTATTGTATTAAATTGCAGGATGATGTTAAAAAAAATGGCCTTCCCAAGGATACGACAGCTGTGATAAATGTGACTGGTCAGAATATCCTGGATCCTATTAAAAGATGGAACAAGGATTTTAAGGCAGAAGTCTGGGATAGTCGAGTTAACAGTACAAAGACTCTAGCAGAGGCAGTAAATAATTCTGGAGCTTCTGTATTCACAACGATTTCTGGAGTGGCTTATTACAAACCTAATGATAAGGAATGGACCGAGGATGATGCATGTGAAACGTATGATTATCTTTCAGGTAAAATTTTGATGGAATTTATTTAAACGATAGTCCAGTGGTTGAATGCAATTACTTACTCGCCTGCTTTCCTCCTAACAGAACTTTGCCATGAGTGGGAGGCAGCTGGAGAACTACCGAAGGACAGCCCATGCAGGAAAGTGACGGTTCGTTCTGGAGTTGTTTTGGGAAGAACTGGAGGAATGATTCAACAGGCTTTTATCCCATTTTTTTTGGGCCTTGGCGGACCAATAGGGAAGGGCACTCAACCTATGCCTTGGGTGCACATTGGGGATTTGGTGAATTTATTCAAATTTTCTGTGGAAAATGAGAAAGTCACTGGAATATTGAATGGAGTTGCACCTGAGGTGATGGTGTTTATAATTTCTCAATATGTCGTTGACTTTGATAATACAATAATTTATACAATTAATAATAATTAATAATTAATAATAATTTATACAATAATTTTTAAAATTTTATATCATTCAGATAATTACGAATAAAGAGTTTACCACGACATTTGCAAAAGCTCTTGGACGACCGGCGGTGATTCCTCTCCCAGAATTTGTCGTGAATGGTATTTTCAGTGAAGAACGAGCAAAGGTAGGTCCGAAGAACAATTCAATAAAATGGCATTCGTGTAATTTTTTATTCTCTGTTTAGATTGTCTTGGAGGGGCAGAAAGTGAAGCCAAAACGAGTTTTGGAGTATGGGTTTCAGTACAAATACCCAACAATTGCAAAAGCCTGCGAGCAATTTGCAGTTCTCTCACCAAAAACAGCTTATTAAACCCCAAATCTTATAATCATTGATAGAATAAGATAGAATTCCTATTTTGTACGACTAGTAATTGTCTCCATTCCCAAAAATTTCTTTTCGAGTGCAGAAGTCATGGGAATTCGTGAATAAATTCCTGTGCATTCTTGAATTATTGCATAACTAAAATGTGATGATTAATTCCATTAAAAATTCCACCTTCGCTTACAAAATAGTCGCAAGATAATCTGTAATAAAATAGTGTCCGCTTGTCGATTGAAAAATTTTATTTCGAATGAGAGAATAAAATCCAAAGACGACTGACTAAAGTAGAGACTCAGTTCTGGGGGTTTGAGTGACCCCAGCGGCATCGTAGTACTATACCCCAAGAGAGGGAGGGCGCCAGACGCAATGCTGGGGTGTAAGGTATGATGGAAGGAGGTGTTGCCAAGCTTTGATGTCGCCGACACCAAAACAGAGGACAAGTACCTTCAGACGTCGTACGTAGCGCTGTATAACGCCTTCTCCTCATGCGCGTTTCATCCCCACAATTCATCGATTTCTG